CGCCGCCGGGAGGGGCACCGGCGGTGCGGTGGGGTGGCGGGGCGGTGGCGGGGCGACCAGGGCTGGGACAGCCGAATGGAGGGGGAGAAGCGTGTTTGCAGCACGCATCACTTCACTGCGCATGGAGCTTGTCTCATACACACGCTCTGCGCTCTGCGAAGCCCTTCTCTCTCCCCAGAGAGGAGCTGTTTGTTCAGGCCCCGGACAGCTCCGCCTTGTCAAATGCTGTCTCCTCTGATCTTCCACCTGCCTCCTGCCTCCCAGCCTCACCTCCTTAATCTATGCAAAAGGCTGTTGCCCAAATGAACCTTCACACACCTCGAATCACTTCCCAGCAGAGCTTTACACCTCCTCTCCCATCTGCTTTAGCTTAGACCAACGAATATGCTCCTTCTGTTTTCCAAAAGAAGTGAAACCAAATGAAAGCCCTGGGCGCCTAGGTGGAATGGTCAAATCATGGCCCCCGGGAGGGGACCTGGCTTGTCCTTCTAGTATGTCTTTTAACCTCTCAGGGCCTTGAAAATCTTGCGTGTTGGGTATGAAAGTATGTTATTCCGAACATCCAAGTCGTCTTTTGGTAATGTCTTTCAACTCAAAGGCCTATGATGGCGCCAAGTCCACAGTCCCCCATCATTCACTGACAGCTGTGTCATCCAGGCACCAGGCTCCCTGTGAGGGACCTGGCTCCCCCAAGAAGCCCATGACCATATGGAGAGTCAGGCATGCAAATATCCAAACACAGAATGTGGGACAACACATTACAGCCCAGGGCTGAAGAGGAGCTGGAAAAGCTCCCCACATTAGCCTGGGAACAGAGAGCAGATCAGGAGATGACTGACGGACATCATGGGCAGAGGCTGTCCAGGCAGAAGGAGAGGATGGGCTCTGGAAAGGCAGCCCCCTCCCAAGATCCCTGACAACAGTCCCGTTTGCCAGGCTTGGTGCTTCCTTGGAACTGTGAAAGACACACTCTTTCAAGCTTTTTAAAGATCCAACCCGCTAGTATCACTAACAAGAAAGCAAGACCTGGAAAAATGGCAGAGCTTTCCCAGGGCTGGAACCAGGTTTCCTAATCTTGTCTGGGCACTTTTCCCATACCGTGTGTCCACGGCCTTCTCCAAGCCACCTTACCACTCAAGCTTCGCTCACTGGGAGTGTCCTTCCTTCTTCAGCTGGCTCTAGCTCCCTATTTCTTCACAATTGAGCTCAAGAGTAGCATAATGGCCAGGCGCAGTGATACATGCCTGTAATCCCAGCAGCTCAGGAGGCTGAGGCAGGCGGGTTATGAGTTCAGAGCCAGCCTCTGCAACTCAGCAGGACCCTAAGCAATTCAGGGAGACCCTGTCTCTAAATAAAATATTAAAAAGGGCTGGGGATGTGGCTCAACAGCCAAGTGCCCCTAGGTTTAATTCCCAGTACAAAAAAAAAAAAAAGTAGCATAAGGGGTGGCGCAAGAAGTGATACACACATGCCCACATGCCCATGCCGGTCAAGACAGGGTGCCAGCGTCACTTCCTCCAAAAGCTCACTCTAACCATTGTCCCTCCTTTGACTTTTCAGAGCCCCAGTGCTGATGTTTAAGCACTTGCCACACTTTAATTATCCATTCATTTTCTGTCTTCCCTGTCAAACTGGGAGTTCTAAAGAGCATCTGGTATATAGTAAGTTCTTAATGAATAGTTTTAGATGAATGGATGAAGGACTGAACAAATGAACAAATCCTATTGGAGAAATGGGGTGAGATTTTAGAAGTAACTGGAAACAAGTGACAGAACTTCAGTTCAAGTCCAGCTCCCCCCCGCCTCACTAGCAGGGCAAGAGCAGCTCCTCATTCCCTCTGAACCCCAGCCTTGTCTTCTGTGGCATGGGTTTCTAAGTGTACCTCTCTCAGGAGTGTCGTGAGACTTAAATATGACTATCCTTGTGAAGGTGTTTTGAAAACTGCCAAATGTGCATGTATTTACCAGTTAGAATGCTTTGCCAGCAAGTAAGGAAAAAATGCACTTTAATGTAGCTTTAATAAGGGAATATATTGGATTACATACCCAGAAATGAACAAATATGAAAAAAAAAATTGAGCAGCAGACAGCTATATAAAATAGAAAGCAAGATTTTCCTAAACATGAGATTTTTCTTAAAATAAGCTTCCTAAACTTGCTTTTCCTCTGTGACATTTCCAGCTTTTAACCAGCAAGTACTGGGCTGTTACCACCCATCTGAAAGACAACAGAAGAAATCCGCCTTTAAGAAAAAAGTCTGTGGCTCTATTGTGGTCATTTATTTAAGCAACAGTTTAAACCCATAGATATTCTATTGTTTTGCCTAGTCTCTTCCAAAATCCCCTTCAGTCTCCCTATCAAGATATTTATAGTGATATTTGTGTTTTTAATAAAAACAGAGCTTGTGAGGAGAGGTTAATAAAATGATCGTAAACACACACCCCCCACCACTGTCACCACTAGAAGATAAAAAATGAAGAGCTGTAGGAATGCCAAGTGATAGTAACATGGGGTTCTTTTGTCGAGGCCTTCTGGGATAGTTCAGTTCTTTATTAGATAGAGAGGCAGGACCTAAACACCCTCACAGATGAAAGCAAGATGCTCTCACATAATTCTGTAGATAAATTTTAGTCCATCTAAGCCACAGCATCCAGCAATTCATGCACAGAGATGGCAACTGCTGCTGAGCTGTGTTTGCTGGTGAATCCACTAACATCTCATTTAATAAGAGAATGGTAAAATCAGATTGCTACAGAGCAAGATCTAAGCTTGTGGAGAAGGAATAGATATTGAAATGCAAGCTCTACAAAAAAGTCAGTTCCCCAAAGGATTCTGCTGGAATGGTGCAGAAGGAGCACCAACTCATTGTCCATGCTCTTGCTGACTGGTGGCTGGCTCATTTGCTTCCTGATTTTGAGCAATCCCAGCAGGGAAACAGTGTTCCTGCAGATGTCTCCCACCATCCTCTCACAGAAAAAAAATTTTAAAAAGAAAAATAGAAAAAAGGAAAAAGAAAAAAAAACGGCATTTTACCCAGATTTGTGGGACCATACTCAAGTCCAAGGGGATCATGGAAAGAACAACCGGCTGTCAAAGACCAAGAAATTAGACAATCAATTGTTTACTGAGTGGCCACAGGTAGCTTGCCAGTCTTGGGCCAAGATTTGGAAAGAATACAGAAACATACAACACCATTCTGTCCAGGAGAAGGCCTCAATGTGGCTAGAGAGGAAGATGCCAGCATCTTATTCTTGACAGGGGGGTGGGGGGACCAGCCAGGTGGGGAAGCAGCGTTCAGTCAGAAGGGTCAGATATAATCAAAGCTAGTCTCTGCGTGCCTGAAAGACTGTAAGTCAGAAGGCAGGTGGGACAGGGGTCTTGATAAAGGGCAAAAGGGACAGGCTCAAACCCAAAGAGAAGGGAATTGAGTGATCCAGGGGAGATCAAACTGCCGATGGGCCAAACAGCTGGGGAACAAAGTCGGAGAAGGTTGTGCACTCTGAACGTCCAGATTCTGAACAGCCCTAGGTTCCTTGTATTCCCAGTTTAGACTTCCTGAAATTCAAAAGGACAGATGATTAATAAAAGAAGGGTTGATTTAGCTTACCAGCTTCTGTTTGGATTATCTGTGTGTCTTAAGAAATGGATATGTAAAATACATTTGCATAGTTGCAACATAAAGGTTGACAATAACTAGCTTCCCCAAGTGAATGAGGACTGGGGATCTCCTGACTAGGTGTCACTAGAGGCTTGGCAGGGGTGCCCTGTGACCAGACAGCCAACTGGCAGCTGTCCTATAGCCACATGGCAGGCATACAGCAGGTATTACAACAAAATGTCCTTCGGTGAGGGCATGATGTGGGGTTTTCAAATAGGTAATTTTTAAAAATTCTGTTGAAAGTACTTGGTATTGAGCTTCCTAGACAAACAGACTTCTACTGGGACTGACAAAGAGTTTTGGGTGCCAAGTTCATGTATATATCACAAATAACAAGAGAACAAGGTTATGTGTAAAGTCATAGAGCACGGTTTTGAGGGATAAAACAGATGGGGGATGGACGGGGTAAGTTAAGATCAATACATTATCACCATGGCTGTGATATGCACATACTGAGTTTTGCAACCTGGACAACTCAGAAAGATGTAGACTCATTATAAGTTCTAAATCATTATCAAAATAACTCAATGACTTGTTTTCATAATGGTAATCTTGATTAAAGATATTGCACCTTTTCCAAGGGCAAAATAAGGTAATGAAGGGTACAGTATGTTTTTCATTCTCCATTTCCTCCTCTCTTAAACAGGGAAAGTTATATCTACCTCTCTTATTATTATTTCATTCAATACATAGCAAAGATTCATGGGGCCTAGCTCTTGTGCAGCCATGTGCTAGGTACTGAACGTATGGCAGGGAAAGTGACAATACCCTATCTAGCATTTGTGGATTATACAACTTGGACAGACCAACCAATACATGAGTTTATACACAAGCATGCAATGTCATTTTCTGTAGGATAAGTGCTCTGTTATGACAAAACAAGAACAAAGAAGACAGGATCAGGGACTAGAGCATGGGAAGTGGGGTCCTGTAGGAGGTGTCATTCAGATGATGTGGTCAGAGTAGGACTTTCAGAGGAAGTGCCCTGCATGAAGAGTGAGGCGGCCATGAGAACCCTGGGGGAACCATTCCCCAGGAAGAAAGGACAGCAGCTGCCAAGACCTTGAGGCAGGAATAGTTGGCAGCTTCAGGGAACAGCAAGATGACCCTGGCAGGTAACAGGGAGAGTGGAAAGAAAAGAGGTGGGAGAAGCAAGCAGAGGCCAGACCTTGAAGTGCCGTTTAGACATCCAGGTGGGCCACATGAGTCTGAATCGCAGGTGACTAGTTGGACCTGGAATCAGACCTATGGGAAGTATCAGGATAGAGGTGGAAGGTAAAACCAAAGTCCACGTGAAGAGAAAAAGGGACTAAAGTTCTGAGCCATAGGACATTCACCAACCAGAGGATAAGCCAGCCAAAGCCAAGCCAAAACAGAAGCCATTAACCAGAAACTATTAACATGTTAGAGAGAGCAGGAGAGAGAAAACTTGGCACACAGAGAGGGCTGTTTATTTGTGGAATGGTATGGGTAATGTGTGAAAGTCTTAGCATAGTGTCCAGCTCTGTTTCATAGCTCTCAAAAATGTTATTATTTTCTGTAATATTTAAAATAAGGAAGAAATCAGTGTCGACCAGAGAAAGAAACAATATTCCTCCAATTGAATAAAAAGGAATACAGTAAGACCATTTAAGGTTAAAATAAGAAAATTTTCCCCCTTGAAATCCCAACAATAAAAATGGCCAAATGTTATTCAATTATTAGAATATAATGTTAATGGGCACAGGAAATCCAGAAATCTGATTTCTGTGGCCATTCCTCAGCCTTATTTTTTATTAAAACCTCTCCAGCCTGGTGTCCTTGCCCTCTCACAGAGGTGGGCAGTACTTTGGATCAGGATTCAGCCTATCTCTTTGGAACCAATGGATTTTATGCATGATACAACTGTTTGACACAAAGTGCTGGGGACTTGGTGCTGGTGGCCCTACTGATCCCCTCTGCTGGCACCCCAGACATCTGGAAGGAGCACTGCCAGTCAGGCCCTGTTGTCCCTCTGAGCCAGCCAGAAAGGAGGTTTTGCTGACAACCACTTAATCCCCAGGCCATGCTCCATCTGAAGAAAATGCAAACCCAGCTGTCATCTAACTTACAACAAATGTGGACCCTCCAGTGGAGAGCGGAGTGGACCTTGCAAAAGAGAAAGCTCCCAGACCCCAAAGGACAAAGGGACCTAAAGGAAAGAACCCGAAGAATCCTTGCTCAGCACTTAGCAGCTGGGGATGCACATGTACATTCACTGTCTCACAAGATGCAGGGGCAGAAATGGGGGATGCCACCTCTCACTTATAAATGGGGAAATCAAGGAACACAGAGCAGGAAGAGACTTACCTAAGAGTACAACATACTTAGTCATGAGCTTGGATTGTATCCAGGTCTCTGGATTCCTTGCCTACAAGGTTAATATAAGGACTAGATGAGATATAGAAACAGGTATGTACAGGTGATTCTGAGATGCCTGGACCCCAAAGCAGAATTAGGCAAATCAAATTTTGGAGTTGGATTACTTCCACTTGAATCCTAACTTGGTAACTATAAAACACCACAATAGTTACTCTTAACCTCCCTGCCTCTAGGTTCCTTCACCTAGTAGTACCTACCTTATTCTAAGACTGTGGTAAAAATTAAATAGAAAAATGTAAAGCACCTGGCACCATCCCTAACACGTAGTACATACTCAATAAATATAAGCTACTTTTAATAGCAATAACAATATTGTCCACTAACTATGTGAGTGGCCTTGCATGAGTTGCTTCTTTTTGTATTCTAGGTGCCCTCATCTGTAAAGTAGGGTGGTGGGTGGGTGGGGGGCGTTAAACTAGAGACAGTTGGGAGGTGGAAGAAGACTCCGGTGTCAGGAAGTAAGCCTCTGAGTTCTGGCTCCTCCCCATTTATTCTTTCAAAACTGCATTGTCCCATTGGAGAAATGAAGGTAATAAATGGTACCTATCTGCTGGATCTCTTTGAAAATTAAATAATGCACATAAAGTTCTTAATGCAGGGCACATAGTAAATACTTGCTGAAGCCCCGATACTGCAGCTATTTCCACTGTCTGCAATTCTTCTCCAAAGATGACAAAGATGATAGAGTCCAACTTCCTAGGTGACACTGAATGACTCCTTGCCATCTGAGACCCCCAGTTTCCCCACTGTAAAATGGGGGCTTGGAGCAGAAGGTCTTAAAGGAGCCTCCATTTCTTATGTTCTAAGGTTACAGGCAGCTCAGGATCAAACGGCCAAGAAAACATCTCTTCCCAGGGAGTCATGGAATCCTCCCAAAACTCAGGGTTGGAGAGCCCGGCTGGCTGCTGTTACACAAGCTTGGAAGCCATATCTCCTGGCGCGTGTCCCTTTAGCATTAACTGTCAGCAAAGCTGGCCTTCAAAGCAACTGCAAATGATGTATCTGTGCACAGTGGGGAGCCAGCAAGCACGGGCGCCATATTCTCCTCTGTGGTTAGACCACTGTGGTCTCCGCCAGGACTCCTCTGACTTAGGCCATTTTAGGACACTAAGACAACTGTTCTCTTCCTTCCTTATTTCATAGAGTTCAACGTCAATGTTGTAATTATTCTCTGTGTAATATAAAACATTTAGCAGAAACACTTAAGGAGTAGGCAAACAGCTTCAGGAAAGCTGTATCATATGGGGCCTTTACTGCTCAGTCACCCCATATCAGATGACACACTCTAACCTGCGTAATAGCTGACTAAGGGTCATGAGAATCAGTCTCTTGAGAAAAACTTGCTGAGCAAAATGCAGCTTCCTCTATCTCCTTTATCTCCCAAAACCAGTTCAATGAGAAGGACTGTCCAACAAGAAGCCTTAGCCATTTCCTCATTAGCCACTCCTTCACCCATTCAGGCCAAATGGGTATTTGATACAACAAGGAAATGTGTCCAGTACATTATTAATTGGATTCAGTGAAGGAAAGGTCACAGGGGTGACCTGAACAATTATGGGATATGGGCAACAGTCCAATCAGAGAGAGAGTCAGGGAGGCAGGGAAATCAATGGCTATGAAATCATGGAGGTTAGGAATAGTTGGAGGCAACCACAAGGCAGATGTTCTGCCCAAACCCAGACATATGCAAAGTTGCTGTCTTCAACCATCTTCAACTGTTTATTATTCTGAGGGAAAGTTCTTGTCTCTAAGGTATCTGGTGCAAAGAAATGAACCCAGAGGGTTGCCACCAGATCACAGGAACAAGAACCACTCAATTCAGTAGATTTGATTGGAAATTTATCAGACTGGTTAGAGCTGCAGCAAGAAAAGAGATGTCAAGGCGCCCACCAAAGGAAACTGGGCTTGTTATTTTTCGATTTCCTGATGTGGTTGCTCAATATTCTCAATAGTCTCATGAGGACATGAGTTTCTAAGAGGCTTTTCCAGAGAGAGTGTGTTGGGGTAAGGAAATGGCCCCAAACTGCCTTAACTGGGCATTGATTCTTTAGAATCAATGTGCATTTAATTCTACAATGAAATGGTAGTGAACCATCTAGAAGATCTCCCGAGGGCACACAGCTCAAAGGAAATCTCCAAGGAAGTCACAAAAGTTAGCACAGGGTATTGTGCCAGAAATGGACCACACAGTATTAAAACCCTCAATCCCTGTGAACGGTCCTGGCTAAGGATTCCTTGGTATTAAATGATAACTACAGAGAGAACAATCCATCTTGCTTATCCAACACAGAGTAGACCAGGCAGAAATGAAGTTGTGATCATTTTATAAAGGTTTTTAGATTATTAATCTGAATCATCAATGAAAGCTTTCATTAAATTGCACCCTAGGAATTGATTTGCAATGGGTAGTTCCAATGTAGTATGCAAAGTTGCTGTAGAAAATTAGCCATCCTAGACTCCCTAAAGAATACAGACATGACATCCGGGCATCTGTTAAGTTTGCTCAAAAACATATGCGAAGGCTTTTTTTTTTTTTTTTAAAAGAACCATAATTACATCCTGCTGAAACCTCCAAGGACCCTGCTAACTGCCTTTGTATTACAACATCCATTTCCCACTTAGGAGGCTCGGCTCTGCTATTTAGTGTGCCTTACAATCTGCTTGACTGTCCAGCACACTTTGTCAGCCACAGTCTGAGAATGGTCAAGTCTTTCCATGCTCCAAGAAGATCCACTTGAAGTCGGTAAGAGTTGTAATGTGCTATGTTGGTGTGTCCTTTGTTAAAGTATGACCAGGAATTTAAAGCTTAAAGGGACTTCTGCATTAATTCATGACAAGTCTATTCATTTTCAGATGGTACCATTGAAGATTGGAGAGAGAAGCGGGTTGTCCAATATCACATAGCTAAACTATGAAACAATATACAATATAATGATTAAAAACTTAGGCTCTGGGGTCACTTATTTTCTCTATGACTTTGTGCAAAACACTTGACTTCCCCAGGCCACACATAACCGATGAGCTTCAGCTGTTAGTATCCTTTTCTTCTTCATAAACATGATCTCACTTAATCCTTATAACAACCATTCATTCAAGGGAGGAAAGGGTTGGGGTTACCAACCTTATCACACAGATAAGAAAACTGAGGTCCATGGCTATACATGCCCAACTGCTATTCTCTTACAATCCTGCTAAAGCAGACAGTAGGGAGTGTGGACGCCCTCACCATCCCATCAGCTCTCTTCATGTGCCTAGAGAGGAACAGGGAGGCGAGGGGGAGCTTGCTTGTTTGTTTCTACACACAAGCTAAACTAGTGTGGCTGATATGCTCAGGTGTGGAATCCTGCAGTGCATCATGGTCCACTGGGCTGCTCCCTGTCCTATGGGAGGGAAGAGAGCAGTTGGGTCTCTGAACCTGCTTCTGGATGATGGGGACACATATGTAGGGGGAGGCAGCATATCACTTCAGGATTCAACCACATATTTTAAAGCTAACATCAGAGTACTTGTCACTACTCCATCAGCCTGCCCTCCTGACCCCCAAATATGGCCTTTGGGAAAATGTAATTGCCTGCTCTGAGTGACACCGGAGCCGGGTGTGTGATAAAGTTGTAGACAGTCACTCTGATTATGAACCCTAACAGAAGGGGAACTATATTGAATGAATGCAGGAGTGAATGAATGAATGCACATCAGGGCTATTTATTCTTGAGCTCTGGAGTGCAATATGGTGATGTCTCCATTATTGCATCTTCTGGGAACTCAATCCCCATAAGGATGTCAGCCAAGGACAGGATTGCAAGGAAGCGATAAAGACTATATGAAACATAGACCCTAAATCTCAGGCTACTTTGGGCCTCTTTTAGGAAGGTTTTCTAGTCCATAGGACCCACAAATATGTCCGTTCAGTTTAGATGGAGTTGGCTGCCCTCAGCCACTGGGAGAGAGACCATCCTAGAAAGAGGAAGAAAAATCTCAGGCAGAGTGGGGCTCTGCCATCCTATTAGCAGAGCCAGCGGGAGGTTCTGTAGAAGAGCCACCCCTCCACACACACCTTACACTCTTGCATTTGTTAACTCACTCATTCGTTCTTTGATGAATAGCTTCTGGAGTACCTACAATGTGCCAGACATGAGAACAGAAACAAAATGAGTAAGACTTGGCCTGAATTCTTGACAAGCTCGTTGTCAACTAGGAAAGACAGGGAAACAGCTTTCCACAGTACAATGTGACAAGTGCCCCCACAGAGGCCAGCTTAGGGCCCCTGGAAGCATAGGGGCACTCCAGGGAGGCTTAATTTGGGGGAGGGATGAGCAGGGAAGCCTCCTCAGAGGAGGTGACTCCTAATCTGAGCCCTGCAGGCAGACGGACAGACCAGCAGAGTCAGCAGATGGTTGCTCCTGGCAGAGGGATCAGTGTTGTCAAGCGCTCAAGAGACTGAGAGAGCATCCTGAGGGTCCAGGGAGTTATAAGTGGTGCTGTGTGGCCTGGATGGAAGGCCTGGTCCTGGTTCTACTCTCTGGGCATGACTATTCTGGACCTCGGTGTCCTTGTCTACACAATGATGACTGAATTTAAAGACCCAAATACCAAAGGCAATCTGCCCAGACCTAAAAAGCCTCTCTGGACAGTCCCCAGGCAAAAGTGGAGTGCTGACACGAGGTAGCATCAGGACATCCCAGCAGTTACTCCAAGCAGCTGAAGGCTCCTTGTCTATTTCATCTTTGGGTGTGGAGGGGTGGGGAGGGGCGACAAGGGGCTGTCACGGAGCCCGTGTTCACTGTGAACCTTCTCAGTGTTCTCTCAGTATCTCCAGTGCTCTCATCAAAGAAAAAGACCACAAAATTCCTGGAAAGTATTGCTCTCCCTCATTTTACAGATGAGAAAACTGAGGCTCAAAAAGAAGCAATTTGAGATGGTTCCATTGGAAGGCCTAGGTCCGGGACTTCATTCAGAGTCAAGCTCTTTCCAGAACCATTCTGCCTCCATCCACCACTGGCAGATCTGGCAGGCCCATTCCAGAGACCTGAAGCCTCTCCCCAACCCAATCCTCCTTACCTTTCCTCCCTCCAGGGCCTCAGTACCACTTCTCTATAAACTGCACCCCCCCAAAAAAAAAGCTGCTAAAAGAACTGAGTGAGTGGGAAGGAGAAAGTAAAGGGAGACCACTTCTAGCCCTCCTGCCGTCCACCCGAGATCCAGACCTGGGAGGGCTCTTCAGAGGGGCACGGTCATTGGACCCAGCTGCTGCCTCTCTGTGCCGGCCAGCACAAGGCTCTCAGGAGCCAGGAGCTGCCCTGACGTCATGCCCACTGGTAACCTGACCCTTGATGACTGCTCTCTCCTTGCCCAGCTGGGCCCTTCCTGCCGGTTCAGGCAAAAGGTCAACCCCCGAGGGGAAGGGGCCAGGTGGGGCTCTTTTCAATGGCTGCTGAAATGAGAGATTATTTTGATTACTAACATCTCCCACAAGACTTCCCCTTTTCTTTGAGCTGCTCCTAATTCTCTCCCTGACTGCTTCTAGAATTGGGTCCACTTTCACTTCCTGCTAAGAGAGCAAAGGTGGCTTCTCCTCTGGGCTTATGCTCTTTCTGGCAGGTATTCGTGGGCCAAGAGCAAGAATTTTAAAAAACAAAGTCCTTGTCTGGATGCTTATTTCTCCAAAAAGATAAACACCAGTGAATAAGGCTTTTATTTAGTCACTGACACAGCACTCTATAAAATGGGTCTAAGTACCAGCCAAATGCTACTTTTATTTAAATACAATTCTAATAAAGCAGACAGAAGGGAAAACATGACATTTGCAACCTCTTTACATCTGTTGAGTAGTTACAGAGTGATGCCATGACTTCAGCACTACATTCAATGCAGGGGGACAGAAAACAAAACTGTCTCAATCCCTGCCTTCTGGCACCTTCCAGTCTAACTGGGAACACAACCATTGCCATCGCCATGATCCACCGCTGCTCCTAGTTGACATTCACCCCATGCACTCCCTGCCTACCAGTACTCACATTATCTCATTTGATCCTTAAATTAAACCCAGGATATAACCACTGTTGTATTTCACATTTAACAAAGAAGGAAGCTGAGGCACACAGAGGACTTTCTGAAGGTCATTGAGCTGGGATTTTCATCATTTTGACTCCACAGCTGTCATCTTAATCTGCAAGTGATCCCATGAAATCATGTATGAGGGATGAAAGAATAAGAAAGAAGAGATGGGGAAAGTTTCAAGTGCATGAAAATGTGAGATGAATCTTGAACAGTGGCCAGGGGTGACTGGTGGGAGAAAAGAGGAGAACAGGTAAAGGGGCATGATGCAATGTATATTCCCACCACAAAAGCAGGTCCTGGCTGAGGTGGTCCAGACACACACTACTGCTGTCTGCATGCCATCATCCATAGCCTTGAAAGTTGGGCCCTGAACACGCCTGCAAAACAGGATCATTTCTGGCTCATTCTTACCAAAGAAGGAAAGTAGTGAATTTCTTGTCCTCAGAAGAATTCTCAGATGCCACAAATGATAACATATTCTCAGAAATCTTCTTAGGAAGGGGAAGAAAATCAGAGGCCAATGCATTGTTGTGTGGGTAAACCTAGCTTGGCCCAGTGAACAAGTTCATGAAAAGTAACAAGTGGGAGTTCCTTGTCAAGTTGTCTTACTATTAGAACTCTCTGGTGACACTGCTATAAAATAAACCACTCTTCCTTGCCATGGAAACCAGGCCCTTACCTCTTGCAGCTTGCAACACAAGATGTTCACATAATAGGCCCTCTTTGGGGTTCTGTTTCCAACAAATGTTGCCCTCCTCTGTGTGCAGGGGCACCGGGACTCTGGGCAGACACAGTGAGCCACACAAAGATGCTATGACAAGCTGCAGGAGCTGAAGACCCACTCACACATACCTAGACTCATATTTGGATGATGGACACAGGCAGGGGAGCGCTGGTGGCTCGGCAAGCTCAGGGGTCACAAGCTAACTGCCACGTGAGGCTCAGTTTGTTCAAGGTGAAGTCAGGCCATGTGTCTGAGGAGTAATGGAAAGAAATTCCTCCATCAGGAAGAGGCCCTGCTTTCATGGCAGTAGTGACAGAAAAGATAAGAGTACTAGCTATGGCTTCTATGATATTGCCATACCATGAGGAATACATATTTGGCCCCTGTCCCTGGTTCCTGGCACAGAGATTCTAAAACCCTTGCAATTTCCTAAGTGATAGGGATGAGAAGAGTATCTTATGTTATTTATTATTTTTGTTGGTTGCCTGCATTTTGTTATTTGCTGGTTATTTATATTTTGTCATTTAATAATGAAGTGACTCTTGGTGGGACCCTAGATAGCTTCTGAATAGGGGCAGGTTGCCAAAGAAACCAGTCATATGATTAGAGGTTGGAAATTTCAACCCCACTTCCCAACCTCTGGGAGGGGAGAGGGAGCTGGAGATTGAGTGAATGGCCAATGACAACCCTTCGGGTCCATGTGATGGAACCTCCACGAAAACCAGAAACAATGGGGTTTGGAGAGCCTCCCGGCTAGTGGACGCTTTGAGGTGCTGGCAGGGCTGTGTACTTGGAGAGGGCACGGAAGCTCTGTGTTCTCTCCCTGGACCTTGCCCTCTGCACCTCTTCCATTTGGCTAAATTGTATTCTTTAAAACAAACCTGGTAGCAGTAAGTAAACGGTTTTCCTGAGTTCTGTGAGTCATTCTAGGAAATGATTAGACCCTCCCCTAATCTATAATCAGGCAATCAGAAACATGGGGAGGCCCAGACTTGTGACTGGCACATGAAGTGGAGGAATCTTATGGGATCTGAAGCAAACGCCAGGTAGAGGATGTTGGAACTGAATTGAATTGTGAATCACTCCACAGCTGCCAGAGACCTTGTCAGTGCAAGGAGAAAGCCCACATAGCTGGTGTCGG